TATCCCGAAGCAGATTTCATTCTTTGAAAAATGGATAATTACAAACCAATTTTTTCCGACTTAGGCTAATGTACTTGCACATACATAACTGCCGCAAACATCTTTATCTTTAGATTTAAATTTTTCGTTTTATTCACATGGCCTTATACATATATTATAATATTGTATAAGTAAATATATGTATTTATATTAATAAATTTTAAGAGTGATGCTTTATAGTATCCACATACATACGTATGCATTATTAACTAGCCACAACATAAAATATGTATATTCCTAATCTAACACGTGTTAATCTCATTAAGAATGGAGGTTGAACTGTTTTTTTTTTTTGCAGAAAATTGCGATCACTTTTACAGCCTAATTACAAAAATGGTGCACTTTGAGATAGTTCACTTTTAAAAAACATATACCATACGTATTGCTGCATATCGTCACCATCACTGCAAAATGTCTTAGATATATGACACTGCGTTTTTACATTTCTGTTAGGTTTCTCTCAAACCCATACCCGGAGTCAGCCATAACTCAAAATATTCGGGAATTATGTATTGGCATCTTTAGAACAGCTCTGTGAGCACTTTCTATCTACATATGTAAATTTTAAAAGTTTGTTGCTTCTGTTAAATTTTGCAACGATGGTGACGTTATGTGATTACATATGTATGTATGCAAACAAAGCAAATTGAAATCAATGACGCACTATTGTAGGTACATATGTACGTATTTTTGAATACAGTCACATTAATATAATTTATGTAGTATATAGAGGGCTAAAACTTTTCAGTACAAAAATCTGTAGTTAACTGCCGATTCTGAGTTGACTACGCACTGTGAATTTGGCCCTAACTCGTTTTTACTTTTAGTTGACTCACTTTTGCATGTCTTGCTGTTTGGGCAGCTGCTCGCGAACTGAGTGTACTAGCGCCACCTTTATCGAAGGCAGACTTGTTTCACAGCGACTTCGGCCCAGTGACTACAATAAAGCCAATTGAAAGCGTCAAAGTTAGTCAACCAGTTAACTGAATGCAAAGAATATGTTTTGGCAGAGAATAAATTTATTTTGGCTGAGACAAAGCATTGCACGTGCGTTCAGACTCTAACAACAATAGGCACTAGCGCTGAGAGGAAATAATTTTAGAAGTTGAAGTTACTATATATCAGTGTTCATTTCGTAGGTAAATTTATTTCTTTTCTGTTAAAAGCTACCTAACGTATAACCGCCTGAAATCAGGTACGATTTAAAAAAAGTATTGGCATAATTCATTACTTTCGTTCCTCAAATTTTCTGCATAAAACCATGATACAAAAAAGAAGGTAGTTTCATTACTACTATTTTTTGATCATAAAGCAGATTTTTGACATTTCTCCAGATGTAAACATTAAGCATAGCTTTGCCACATTGAAATGTTTGAGAGGGGAGATTTTCTTTTAAATATTTGGGATTTAATAAAAGAGTTAAATTTACCTTAAAAATTAGCAAGTTGATGTTTTCGATAATCAAATTTGAATGTTTTTCTCAAGCGTTTAAAAGATCCTTTGAATAATATCGATGTGCAGAGATGAAGAAATTAAAATTAATCCAGTTTTGAAACATTTATTTATTAAAAAACTTTTTTCATTTTATTTAAAAATAAATATGTTTACATAACAAAACAATTTTTTTTAATAGTCCGAAAAAGACGTATTGTAAGCTATTTCGTCATTAAAGCATAGTCCGAAACCAGGCTTCGGAGAAGGTTGAATGGTCTCATTTCCCTCACAATTAAAGGAGCCAAAATTCAGAACTCTCTCGAAGTGAAGTATCTAGAAGTAATTCTGTATACAAAATTATCGTGGAAATCTAACGTGGAACACAAAACCTCTAAAGAATTGGCAGCATTTTGGCCATGTAAACAGGTATGTTGGAGCAGATTCTCATTCAAGAGCGCGGGAAGTCTGCTTGCAAAACTTCAAAGAACTTCTGCCGTGTGCTGTACGGAAGCTTTCTCTACAACACGTGGCGCTACTCTGGATGCACTGCTGCACTTACCGTCACTTTGTTTCTTCATACGTAGCGAAGCCTTAAAGGCCACCTGCAGACTAGAAAGCAACGGATGCCGGTATAACACCAAGGTTTATATAATATAAGAGGTTGCGCAATGCGCAGGTCCGTTATTCTTTTCTCGCAAAATTGGGCGACAACAACAGCGAAAACAACAAGCAGCGTAAGAAAACATAAAATTGAAATGAAGTGAAGCGATTTCAAACCAATTGTAATCGATAGCTTATTCGAAAATAAATTTACAGTTAATTTTAACCAAATTTTTACTCATACCTGTATGTCGAAAAAGCCACAAAATCGGATTTTTCACTGCGGTAAATTTTTGCGAAATTTTCATTTCAACTCGCTATATCTCAGACGTTTGCGTATCGATTGATTTGCAATTTGTACACAATAAACTAGATACTATTCTAAAGAAGATAAGTCTACCTGCACTTCTTAATATTTATTTAAAACGAAATTACGGATATTTTAACATTTTTATAAAAATTAAGGAGGTGATTTTTACAAATGCAAAAGTTGTGTTATGAAGTTTAAAATTTTTGTTTTGTTTTAATGCAGCATTAAAGTCAAATATATACGGATATTTTTGGGAAAGCTTCAGGTTTAGACAACAAGTAGTTTTAAAGTTATAACAATATTATGATGACACCCACGAGCGGTCGCTCGCCTCTAGATGACAAATATTTTTACTGGGCACTTGTACAAGTAATTTTGGAAGTAATATTAAGTGAAATGTTGAAATGCATGTGTACAAATTTCAAATCAATCGAATCATAAACGTCTGAGATATAGCGAGTTTAAATGCAAATTTCGCAAAAATTAGCCGCTGTGAAAAATCAAGTTTTGTGGCTTTTCGGCATGAAGGCGTGAAAGTAAAAATTCGCCCTGAGACGATATGCGCAGAGCGAGGCAATTTTTATTTCGCGGATTGCGCGACCTTCTGTGTATAGATCTTGGTATAACACTGAGTGGGACGAGTTGGAGGGGAATGAGTTTACATGTCTGCGGTGACAGACAAGCTGCACTTAAGGCATTGGGCTGCCCTCCAACTACTTACTTCCAAACTCTGGGTGCCAGTTCAATCGGGAGTACCTCCTATCGTCCATAACCATATTATCTTTCATATCATGAAGCACCGAAATTAAAGCCTTTCTGGGGATAACGTTTGCAAAGCACATCCAAATACTTTTCCGTGATTGGCTTTAGAATAAACGAATTTAATAATAACTAATTTTTGCGGTGGACAACATATTTAGCGGTCTTTTGTTTCAAAGAAACAGTTGGTTGGTTGTTTTTTAAATATGGCGATGTATGAATTTCCATTTTCGTTATTGCTCAGATCGAAGACAAATTTCCTTTTAATTTTGTAAATAATTTTTTCAAAATCAATAAATGATTATTGATGACTAAATAGGTATGGCAGCACGAAATGTCACAATCCGCTTAATTGTCAGGTAATTAATATGGTGTCCGAAAAGGGACAATGAAACTACCTTCTTTTTTGTATCATGGATAAAACCTGCAAAACTGTCATAAAGCAAAATTCGTCTTGGAGAAAGAGAGAAAAACCAAAAAGTACAGTAACGCTTTTCGGCTAATCCCTGTTAAAACTGTCAAACACACCATGGGCGTCATTTTTCGTTTACATAGCAGTTTCTAATCATTTGCCGATCTGCTAAATTATTTGCAAATACACCAGCAAATTAACAAAAATACTTTCAAAACTTGATATTTCTTCACTATGATATATTTAATAAGGTAGATGCACTTTTGGTTTTTGATTAATCTACAATCAAATCGTTTGAACAGCTGATGGTTTGACACTTTACCAGATTTTGCCAGCAAAAATTCTTCGGGTAAAATCTTGCACCTTCTGACAAAGAGAGGACCGATTTTACTATCCCATTTTTCCCCCTACCTGTCAGAGAACAGAGTACGGGAACGCTCTCTGGTAAAATCCTGTAAATTCTTGGGAGTTAGTGAACGCAACTATTCATTTGTAGTAAAATCTGTTCAGCCATGCGAGACCATTATAAGGAATTGAAAAGGGAAGCGAGACAAGTTTGCCGAAATAAGAAGAGAGAGGCCGCAATACGAAGAGAGAGGACGAAAAACGTGAGTCCGGAGAGATTGAGAGGCTGGCCGACAGGCGAAACATCCGAAAATTTTATCGAAAAGTTAGGCAACTAACGGAAGCTTTCAAGACCTGGGCGAACTTCTGTAAGAACAACAATGGCGACCTAGTGACCGATGTCCAGAACGTACTTATAATATGGAGGGAATTTCCACCCTATTAAATGACAGCAGCACTGAAAGTAGTGGAGAAGACGAACCAGAACCCTTAGTCGATGACGATGGAGTCGATGTACCACAGCCTGACCACAGCCAGGTACGAATAACGATTTCGCGGCTGAGAAACAACAAAAACGCTGGAGCTGGCGGCCTGCCAGCTGAGCTATTCAAATTCGGCGGCGAGTAGTTGATAAGGTTCATGCATCAACTCTTATGCAGAATATGGGTGGATGAGCGCATGCTTGACGACTGGAATTTAACTGGCCTCTACGAAATCCATAAGAAATAATTGTGCTGATTACGAACCGGTTAGTATAAAGCTTCTATCAGCTCCATATTTTGGGGGAAAAAAAACTAAGTGAAAGTTTAAAAAATCGCTTTTTTTGGAATATTTGGCAAGATTTAGCAAAGAAACAAAAGGTGATAGAACCTTCCTCTTAGGCTTAGATTAAAGCTAGAACTCTCGACTACTATCTGTACCATCCGCAGCAAAATCGGTTTGTGAAGTAAAAAAAAATTAGTTTAGGTTTTGGAAAAAATTGAAAATGCTGTGTTCTCAATAAAAAAAGGATCAGTCCAGAGCCTTCGTCTTGACCTGCAGGCTGTGACGCCACAGCCGCTAAACTTAAACATAGAATACATGATAATATTAAAATCACATTCAAGGTTAAAACAGTACATAAAGTATTCGTTTTGATTGTAATGAATTGAATTTAATGAATCAATTGAATTGCAAAATATTAATACTTAGAAATAGAAAGGCAGATCCACATTAACTTCTATCATATGTACTACCTTACTTATAAATAGATATATGATAAATAGATTATGATAGATGAAGATGGAGATGAAGATGAAGATGAAAATGAAGATGAAGATGAAGAAGAAGAAGAAGAAGAAGATGAAGATGAAGATGAAGATGAAGATGAAGATGCAGATAATCATAAAAATAAACATAAACATAAAAACGATAGAGACAAAGATAGAGACGAAGAAATTGATAGGGATAAAAAAGGAGATACAACTGAAGAATTTGCGAAGTTATTTTATGGTGTGTTAGGCTACATATTTTATGTTATTTAATCTTATGTTATGATATGTTATGTTATACTATGAAATATTATGTTATGCTAAGTACTAAGTTAAACTTCCCTCCACTTAAACCATTCCATCTAATTCTATTTCAACTCAACTCAGCTTATATAAACTATCCCTAATTTAAGCGATTGAATTTCAACCGTTGGGCGAACGCAAGTTTGAATAAAATAAACATGCTTAGAAGATACCAACCTATACATCTCATATACCAAACGAAAGGAAAAAACTTGAATTTTTGATTAGAGAAGCAAATAGAAAATCATTCGAGCGGTTTTCGAGAATTTTGTTATTAAAAAAATTTGCAAATTTTTTCAAAATTTTTTTGCCATAAAATGCTCGATATTTGTTTAATTTATATAAAGTTTGTACACGATAATATTTCTAGTCCTCTAAAGAACATTTATCCCGAAAATGAAAGTTATAGCTGCAAATCATAAGTTGCTACAGCACTTAAAAGGCTAAAAAATTTACCCAAAAATAAGCCAATATTTATCGTTGTTTCTAGGACAGACTCCGAATCTGTTACTCACAGAAATGTATCTGTAGATAGGTTTTGAATTTTTTCTTTGAAACGCCTCACCCTTCTTTGAAATCGCTTCACTAGTTCTCGGGAAATAAGCGTTT